CCCCAAAACCCCAAAACCCCATCGAGCACCTATAATGAAAAATTGAAGCTAATTATATTATTATTATTAGTAGAGTAGTCGTCATTATATATTGCACTGACTGGTATCATCTGGATTAAGCAACTTATTATTCAAATCTACATCAATACCATCTACAATAAGCTATGTAAGAATCTTTCCTTTAGCTTCATTCAAATTGTCTGCTAAGATTTTGCTCAGTTAAGCCTAATCACACTGATTTCTCGTTTGGAGTTACAATTCTTTAATGAAGTTACTAATGATATTTTCGGCATTCTAAGCTAATACTCCTTTTTGTACCATATTTACTTTTGGTTACTCTTACTGCTACTTTACAACTTATGACTGCAATTTCTATTAATTATTTTGATTCAAATAAGGATTAAACTCGGGCTTTAGTTAGTTAAATTCGTTTAGGAGTAGCTATTACTCATATTACTATTGTTCATGGTCTTTAACATTGCCAGTCCTTTTTTGATTTTCCATTTATTTCTATTGGAGTTTTTTAGGGGACTTTAAATGGTTCTCTATTTAAAATTGCTTCTCCTATCTTGCTTTTATTTTATCTAAGAGTTCAGTTTAAATCCAACTTTCAATTTGGGGTTTTAGGTATTCATTGAATGAACTTATTAAATTTTTTTCGTAGTATTCTTCAATTTTTTTCTTGATTAAGGGTATATTTTTGGTGAACACCAAGTCGCAGCTTATACTTACTTTAGTTTCCGGTTTTCCATCTACTAAATTTTCATCTAAATCCCAGAAGATATCAACATAGTAATGATCACTATAGAAAACTTTCTACATCTGTAATTTAGAGTACATTAGAATTTTCCTAGGGGAGATGACATAGAATTTTTAGGTTTCTACATAAGGAAACACTTTTATCAAGGCAATTGCTTTATGAAGTGTTGTTTTAACATGGACATTTCTTTCTTTGAAACCTCTAGATAGTTAAATGCCTATCTATCCTTAGTAAAAGGCACTCAAAGCATAGTTTGTGTGAATCAAAATATCTTCAAGGGAATCTGAATTATCTGTAAAAGCATCTAGCCTAGCTTCTATCTTCTTAATTTTTGGATCCTTCTTCTCCATATGACTTGAGAGCACTTCTACAAATGCCTTGTCATCCTCATTTTTATGAATGAAGATTGTGTGAGCAAGAGCAGCTGCAGTTATATCAACATAAGTCTTATTGTAAATAGTATTATTCCACTTTCTAGTAAGTAACTTACTAATTTCTTCATTTTCTTCTATATATATTAGATCATTGGACTGCTATTATTAGTAGATTGAAGGATCAATCACAATTTATTCATCTTGAGATGGAATCATTTAGTTTGGTTATTCTTCAAACTTTTCATCCTCATCCTAGATGTCCACAAAGTCATTGACGTTAATCTAGTTATTTTGGATTTATTCAAAATTTAATTGGTCATAAATCTGTTCTTGCTACTCATATTTGACTTCCTCAAAGCCATGCACATTTCTGTTTAATTTAAATTTGTTTTGACTTTATCTCAAACTGTTTTCAATAGCACTTTTCTCCATATCCAGTTCGATCTATTAGATGTACTAAGCATCACATTGAGATTTCTGCTTTTGTTTATAAAGAAAACCCTCCATCATATCATTCACTATATATTAAACTTTTTAAGCATCATCTCCGAGTCCATTAAACTAGTGTTGCGTTCCTTCATTTAGAGTAATTAATATTCCTGTTCCAAAGTTATTTAGAATCTCACACAGCACAATTTTCTTGATTTCTATTTTGACTTTAGTTTTCTTGCCAAAAAGAGTTTTCTCATTAAAGAATGAACTAAAGCAAATGAAGTCATTTAGTATAAATAAACTTCCAAAAACAGGTATATTAGTGCCACTATACATGCACTTGAATTTCGATATTAACACTGTGGAGTCTGGATCCAATTTAAATTTTTTGAGTACTTTGTATTCTTCGTCAGCCATTTGAAGAATTATAGATAATTTTATAAGATAAATTATTATGAATATTTTCATTTATTAGCATGATTAATGCTTCAAGGGGTTTTGGGGTTTTGGGGTTTTGGGG